CTGTTTTTTAAGCTGATCTCCACGTCTAACACGACTTCCTCGAGCTCTCTTTCCACTTCAAGTGCGACGCTCCTATCACCTTGTACAAAGATTTTTCACCAGACCAACAAGTCCTTCATACTGACCGCCCCACCACGGAGCCTTGCTCAGATTAAACTGCCAGGTAATGTTGTTCTTCGCGAGAAAGTCATTTACTAGCTCACTCTTGGAAATCTTCCAGATTTTATTAGCCGCCGCCACGAACGTCTTGGCATTATCCGAGTATACTTTTTCTGGTTTGCCTCTTCTCGCTATGACTCGTTTAAGACTACGCATAAACTCCTCGGTCGACATGTTCGGTAAGAGTTCCAAATGAACTGCTCTCGTAAGACTACACGCGAATAAAAGTAGATAAGCCTTCGACTTAGTTCCTGATCGGGTCTTGTACAGGAATGGGCCAGCGTAGTCGATTCCAATCACTTGGAATGGTCTGGTTCCCTGCATTCGGTTCTCTGGTAGATTGCCAGTGGGTGATTTGTTAAAGGGGGTTACTTGAAATCTATAACATCCATTGCAATTTCTTCTCACTTTCTTCGTTACTTGACGTAGCCGTGGGATCCAGTAGCGTTTCCTCACCGCAGCCATCGTCATTCCGACTCCCCCATGTAAGGTGCACACATGTTCACGCATCACGATCTTCTTCGTCAGTTTTGATGTGGGAGGAATACAGCCTCGTCTCCGGCGCTTTGATGTTGCGTGACGCGCGCGTGGGAGGTCACGCGTGGGGGGAAAGGAAAAATTCGCAGCGAAGCGCCTGGGAGAAAATGCTTTCAAGATGGCGGACAAAACAAGTGATTTGCATTTTTGTCTTGACAACGATAGTGAAGATGGTCAGTATAAACAGGTAAACATTTTAAAATTCAAATTACTATTTTAGTATTTCATGGAATTCATGAAAAAATGTTGGGTATAAGTGGTAGACTTTATTTTTTAGAAAATAAGCCACAAATATTTGTGTGGTTGTAGATATAAAACCTTTTTGTATTTACTATAACTTTATGCGATAATTTCATCCCTCAATCCCGAAATTAAATGGTTGCACAGTACAGGTATATCAACAGATGAAACTATGATGTGCTAGTATATTAAATTGGGAATTAAGGTTTTACATATTTAGTCAAGGGTTTTGTTATGCATCATGAGCTTGTGGTGGACTGGTGCAGGACAGAGCTCAGCTGCTAGGGGCAGCTGATCTGAGAAGTGAGAAGGCATGTTTTATATCTAGGATTGTAGTTTATGTCCTCTCTGATAGTTTGTTGCATGTGTATATTAAGTTATCAAAGGGGCAGTGTCACGGTTCTACTGCGCATCCAAAATATGCGCGAACTTGAAAAAATTCTGCCAACAATTAATCAAGTTAGGAGTGAAATGCGATATACTATTTATAATCCCTTCGTTATGCAGGACATCCTTGCTTTGTTTTAAAAATTGAAGGCCGCTGCATCTTCCAATCATGTAGCATTAATTTTAAACATGTCTTTGCGTCGTTTATTTTAACCAATCAGCGCTGTGACACTGCCCCTTTAAATTGTTTCTAGTTCTGCCATCTTTCTGTCCCTGAGGTTATTAAGGGCTGTTAATGCGGACAGCTAGCCCAGTAAGCGAGACCTCACTGTGTGGTTATTTTAATATTTTTATAGTGGAAATTCCTTTCAATTTGTATGGACAACCTGACTGGCTCAGAGAGATCTCACTTGAAGAAGGCAACATCTCACTTGAACAAGCAACATCTCAGTTATACCGGGAGGATATTTTGTGGCTATATAAAACACTAACCAGACTGACTTGATCAAAATAAAGGCAAAACAACAAAATTAGTCATGACAATATTGTCAAAACAATAGAGACGCAGAAATTTCCAACAATGAGTGCATGCTACTGACATTGTCATTGAAACTGAGTACCAAGCAACATGTTTGAAAATTAAAGATGCAAAATCTTGATTAATTTTGTATTATTTTAAATTAATAATTATTAAACCTAACTGTACAATCAAGTTACATGTAATAGAGTATTATTATAACTTTGTAGCTCCATAGGCTATTCTTTCGCTGTTCCAGGTTTTGATCCACAAAGTTATACAGGGTGTATCAAAATAAACGCAATTTATCTTTTGTGCTTAATAACTTTCGAAATACTATTTCTAGTTAAACGCTTTTAGGCTTACTTCAAAGCCTGTTCTTTTCTCTTTCAAACAAACTATTATCCTTGTCTCCAATGCTAGTAATAATTGCACAGGAAAAGATTTAGTAAAACCTATCATTTTTAGTTGCTGTTTAATTATGTAAGTTTACTATGTTATTGTTTAGTCGGTTTAAATGTTAGAATTTTCTTCTTTAAACTTTAATGTTGTCGTCACTACATCTGGAAAACCACGTAAGAACAAATTAAAAGTATTTTAAAAGAGACCAGGTTGTTTGAAAATCCTAAACGAATGCTAAAAATCGTCAAAACATTCTGGTGTCTGAGCCAGAGTGTCATCGAATTGCGATGTAATGTAAACAGAAATTATAGCAAGTTGATGTCAGTCAGCTTAGATGGTCCAAGCCAAAATTATATCGCATTTGAAGTTTCAAACTGAGTTAAATATAGTGGAAGAAAAGCCGTAATTATACTTATTGTTACAATCCATTCAATAAAATGCAACATTTTTTTGTTTTAATGAAAAAATCAGTTATTTTCATGAGAACGATTTGTTATTCCATCTCAATTTTTTTAATCTCCAATCGCAATAACGTAAAGTACTATTACCCGCGAACCAATGAGTCAAATTTAAGAAACAACCCACTGTTAGAAAGCTGAATACCTACGCTTTAAAATGAATGTAAACTTTAACGTTTTCGTCTATTATTTCTTTAGCAATTTACATTTCAGTCGAGGATTGCGCTTTTTTTGATACACCCTGTAGAGAAAAGTCATTGTTAGTTCTGCCAATTAGGTCTGGCAAGTGCTAGTGTACCACACCACTACTCTTGCGATTTGAACATTCAGAAGAACTTGTATTAATCTCTTGTCCACATGACTTACATCACCCTGAATGAGAAATGTCCATTATGCATGCTTATAAAATAGTGACATTACGTATCATTGGAACACACTTTGAAGAAATATTGAGTCACATATCCCACAATCTTATTACAGGGAAATTTACTTTAGAGAAGAACCCAAACCCAACTGTTCAGATAGACATTTATGCAGGGACGCCGGAACTGGGGGGGCAGGGGGGGCGGCTGCCCCCCTTGCCTTTTGCTAGGGGGGCAGGGGGGGCAGAAGTGCCCTTTTAGTTGTAAAATAATACGTGATAAATCACATTTCCAACGATGCTTTTTGTAGGAAAATCACGAGATTCAGGTAATTTATAGTTTATATTTATAAAAATTTTGGGAAATTTTTGGAATTTAGAAAAATATTTTGAAGAAATGGCGAAAATTTAAGATATCCAGAAAAATTTTGGCTTCACGGAATTTTTGGCTTGCAGTGAAAAAAAAAATTTCAGTAAAGGTGCCCTTGGTGTGCGTCCGCCCCCCTTTGCCCTATTATCGTTCCGGCGTCCCTGTTTGTGTCTAACACAGAGCTTGGAAAAATATCATGACCACGAAACCCTTTCGTTGGCCAAGCATATAACATGATTTTGTATTGGCTAGGGAGGTTGCAAGCTGCCGAACACAAAAGCCAATAGATTGGGATGCTATTGCCCACCGATTAAGTTCACATTTTGGAAGTTAAAACCTTAGGCCTAAATCTAAATCGTTTTTAAAATCCGAAATGCAAACTTGTAACGGGTACGTCGACTACCGGTTTGCGGTTTGCCGTAATGATGAACGTCAATCTAAAACTCTCTAATGTTTATTTTATGTTAAACCAACGCCCAACGTGGGACACTAACTTTCACAAAGATTCTAGTGAAAGTTGGTAAAAACATTGGCAGGGTTTAATAGTCAACAACATGCATGACCGAGAACAAGGATAATTTGAAAAGATTACGCGAGCTATCGACCGGGAAATAGGGGAGTTGTTACGAACAGTGGCGCAACGGGAGGGTCTCAGGGTGTCCAGTGACGGGGCGCCCCCGAACTTTAGGCCCCCCCGACAAAAATGACCATAAAAAATTTGATAGCACATTTCTGGGGAATTGAATTACGAAAAACAGACAGATAGACAGCTACCTATTGTGGAGTTGCTTATTAATGTGATTATGTTATAATTTTGCGAAAAACAAATAAACAATGCTGCGTAGCCTGCAAGTCAAACAAAAACGTGCAAAGTCAAAGATCTTAAGCTTTATACGCCTTCCGACGCCGATAAAATAAAGTATTTCGCATTTCGTACTAGTACCGCTGAATTAACGGTTTGTAGTCTCTTCTTGCAAGCGATGGCGCCGTCGACAAAACATCAAAAAAGGTAATATAAATGATTTATGATATTGAGATGTAATGCTTTGTAATCCGTCATGCATATCGTTTTTGCTTAGGCCAAAATTAGCATATAAACCTTTCTTGTATAAGCAGTAATAATTTATTAGCGTGAATATAAATCAATTTTTCATACAATTATAAAAATAAATACTGGAAGTTACGTTCGCAAGGGAAGTTCAAGTGCTGCCTTGACTCGACCTACACCAGTACAGTGCCACAGTGAGAGTGCACCCTTGCCATGTTCAGTCACAAATGTTGTTAATAGTATTAGCCATGATATCAACGGTATATACAAGCCATTTATGATTTTTATGGCCGATAAAAACCATAAATTATGGGCACTTGCTGGACAGTCGTACGTGCATGCTGATTTAAAACATATGCTATTGATAAATTTCCAGTGTCTTATTAACAAATAACAAATCGGCAGAAACAGATCAGATCGCAGAAATAATCATGATAGAATCGAGACAACTGCATGTTGCCGGCATGTACTGATGTACAGTTATGGTTATTGGTTTATAAATTGTTTTAGAGAAATAAAAAATGAAACGAAAGTATAAATCAGGATCTGCAAAAAGGGCGGAAAAGAGAAGAAGTATTCAAATAGCTACCCAAAATACAGCTCCTATAGCCTCATTCTTTGAAAAAGCTGAAAATGTTGAAAGTGATGCTGAAGATACTCCATCAACATCTTCTTTGGCTGATGAAGCTCAATTAAGTACATCAAATGAAGGTGTAGACAGTGGGAGCATGAAGAAAAATGCTGAAACTTCTGATGATCAATTAGGACTTTTCAATCTGGTCAATGAATACCCTACTGACAGAAGGCACTTCCCATCCTCAATTGAAGAAGGGGATTTAAAGAGACTTATTCTTAGTCATGGCCCATGTAAACCTGATGGACCATTTACAGTGGAAGACGAACAAGGTAACAACAACAAACTTCAAAACATCATATTATCAACTCCACAGCAAGAACAAAATGTGCCCGAGATCATGGCTTTGTTATTCACCAATATTAGCAAAACCATACTGTGAAAATTGCTGCCTTTTTGCTGATCGAAATCATCCACGTTTTGGGTTGCAAAGTGCATGGGTAGATGGAGTTCAGAGCTCAAAAAAGTGATTGCTAGCTAAAATAAAGAAACATGAAAACTCATTGCTCCATATTGAAGCATCTTCTGTATATCTTAGATGGAAAGAAGGGAAGACAATAAGTGACGAATCCCAAAAGCAGAACCAACGTGAAACTAATTTATGGGTGAACGTTTTGAGAAGGGTTTTGGGTGTAATTCTTTGTCTGGCCTCGTTAGGTCTTGCTTTGCGAGGACATGATGAAAAAGTAGGTGAAGGGCTTGCACAAGGAGGGAATTTCCTGGGTGTGGTGACACTGTTAAGCGAATTTGACACTATTACTAATAATGCCATCTCCTTACCTAAGTATGCAACTCGATACATGAGCCCCCAAATCCAGAATGAACTGATTCTAACAACATCTCAGCTGCTGCGAAAGTCTTTGGTCACTGAGATAAATAAATTTCCATTTTGGTCAATTGTACTGGATACCACAAGTGACATAAACAGAGTAGATCAGCTCAGTGTCATTGCTCGGTGGGTTAAAGTACAAAACGAGAATGTTACCATTAAGGAAACTTTCCTTGGTTTTATATCTGTAACTGACGGAACAGCGGCCGGCCTCGTAGAAACAACATGCAAATATGTCGAAGATATTGGACTTGACATGGAAAAGCTCCGTGGTCAAGTTTACGACGGGGCGAGTCTCATGAGTGGTGTTCACAATGGCGTACAAAAGCTGATAAAAGATCGTTCATCAAAGCCTGTGCCATTCATTCATTGTGCAGCACACAATCTAAACCTTGTTATAAATAATGCCGTAAATTCCGTTGTTGATAACGATAACTTTTTCGGAGTTATTCAATCCATTTACGTATTTTTCTCATCGTCCATAAATCGGTCAAGAGATTTACAGTTGCTCGCTGTTGACTCGTCCTTGTCTTTAAAAAAGCTCTGCGTTACCAGGTGGTCGTCTAGGGTAGATTCGGTCCATGGAGTGCGGGACAGATTTGTTGACATTTTGAAGCGACTGACAGTCATTTCGTTGACTAGCAAGGATAGAAAAGAACGTGATGAAGCAGTTGGCATCAAGAGGAACATTGCAAAAATTGACTTTATCATAAATCTAGTTCTCTGGGAGAGAATTTTGTCATGTACCAACCAGGCGCGGATCCAGTGGTTTTGTTGACTGATGCACTAAACCTCGCATTTGTAGGGGGGTCCGGGGGAATCCTCCCCCGGGAAATTTTGAAATCTAGGACCTCGGAAATGCGATTTCCTGCGTTCTGAGGGAGCTTTTCTACGAAGTTCACACTTCAAAATCGAAACGTAATTTGCTGGATTTTCGGGGAAAAAACGTAAAAAATCGGCCTTATAGAGTGAGAACAACATAATCATGTGAGTTTTAAAATAAATTGAAAACATTTTTACGCGGAGTTTTATCAGATCGAAACTTGACTAGCCTTATTTATTTGATCCTATTTGAGTGAGGATTATAGAGTAGCAAAGCTGTAGCTATAATTTACAATTTTACATACAAGTGTACACTACTTACGTGTACACAACATACTGATAGAATAATTGAAAGCAAAACCACAGACATTTTTTCTGTGTAAAATATGGTGCAAATGACATGAAAAGCTGATCAGGGTTGTGTTTCTTATGCAAAATAGATAAGAATACTTCAAACAAACTATTATATTCATTGCCAATGATATCACTTCCTGCAACTTATCACTTCCTGTTACCAGTTAACACCAATCAGTATAACAATGTTCCAGGTCAAATACCTTCCAGCAGCACCACCATGACATAAATTCCGGTTAAATTATTTTAATAATCCAGGATTAATTCCAGGGCAACTTTGAGTTACTGTATATGAAGGCCCTCTCTGGAGCTAGTCACTCTAATATTTATGGATGCATTTATATCCAACATTTTGACAAATGCAGTTTGAATTTTTAAATACTGTAAGATTATGTAATAGTAGGTAATAGTTTTCATTGTTGCTGAGCAGTTAATAATACAAATAAACAATTATTGAAACTATTTGCAGAAAATAGATTATTCTACTGTATTTGAAGTCTGGATATCTACAATACATTGACCAATATATCTCCACAGATTTTGCATTGAATCCCAAATTACAGTACATTCAGGAGAGTGTCTAGGACTACTGTATGTATCCAAAACTGCTGTTTTAAGATATTAAGAATAGACAGGGAGAAGTGCATGTTATGGACTTGGTAGGTATCTGATTGCATGAGCAGGATAAGCAAGCTTCAGTAACAGTGGCAGTGCAGTATATTGTGATCAACTCAATTAGTACATTGACTTATCAATGAAAGTGAGATAATTTATCAATTTATACATTAATGTATTCTATGCAATGACCCTTTGTTGTATTGAAAATAAATGATAGAATGATCAGAACAGTAATTTGGTCCCATAACTGCTAATTAGACTGGTACATTTAAAATGAACACCTTGTGCTGAGCCATGGTCATGAGAATGGTATAATTTAAAGGCATATGAACAATGCCAGGAAAAGCATCACAAATTTGAGGGGCCGAACTTGATAGAGCCCAGCTAAATTTATTCCCTTCCTAAACATGTGAATCCCCTTTATTTTCAGCATCACAATAATTTGCCGGTCACCCCCTGTGCCTCTCCCCTCACCTTGGCAGGGGCAACCCTGATACATGTAATGCCATTTAGTGTGATTGATGGCTTCTGGTACTAGTGATGATTCTGGAACAATAGAGATAATATATAACTGAACTAATCTCACTATCACCAAACATTGCCCTTTCAAGAGCTTACCATTTCCAATAATTTGCCGGTCACCCCCTGTGCCTCTCCCCTCACCTTGGCAGGGGCAACCCTGATACATGTAATGCCATTTAGTGTGATTGATGGCTTCTGGTACTAGGTGATGATTCTGGAACAATAGAGATAATATATAACTGAACTAATCTCACTATCACCAAACATTGCCCTTTCAAGAGCTTACCATTTCCAAAATGATGCACATACAGGGATGGATTTGGATATGGGAGGGATCTAATTAGGTGCCGGTATTGATGTCGGGTGTGAGCATCAACCAAGGCATGGTGTGTAATCTTACAGATAGCAGTGTTTTGGGGAAACAGCACCTAACAAGTAACCGGCCAAGTAACCGGCAGGTGCCAGGAATATAGCTGCTAGCAAGGGTTGCAGGATCCTAGACAGAGTCCCTTAGACTGTAAGAATCTCAGGGAGAACTGCAAAATATTATGAAGCATCTAGATTCAATTTGCATTTTCAGACAAATTAAGACACAACCTCCACCCCCCCCCCACACACACACTATATAATGGCTGAATGGCATATTGAGTGTTTATGGCTATGTTTACATTGTATCGGATCGGTTTTTGCTTCGTTCACGAAACGTTACGGCCCAAGTGTAAACAGCTTCCGTCCTTGCCCATCTAAATACAAAAATATTATAAGTGAGCAAGCTATACCCGCAAATAAGATTAGAATAGCAAGTCTTTGTTTCCCAGATGCCATCTTGAGTCACGTATTGAACCGAAAATTGCTCCGATTTGTGTTTACATTACAATGAGAGCGTTGCAAAAAGCGATCCGATACATCGCGCACCACTTCGAAGAGCGAACCGCCGCACCACCGGTCCGTTGCAGAAATTGAGACGATAACAACATTTCATATGTAAACAGAAGCCCTATCCGGTATGGTTTTTGCGTCGGACGCAAAGTGATCCGATACAATGTAAACATAGCCTATATGTGAACAGCCAAAACAGGATCATCCATGTTGACATATTTAAAACAGTTCAAATATAGTAAATTTTGTAAAATTGTGATATTTATACTACGACAAATATACCTATTTCTACAGTATTTATTATAAATATCAACACACAGTCACACACAGACTCACTCGTTTAAATCTACATCTATAAACACAGTACACAGATCCCAAACATTCCCTTGTGAAATTACTGAAATAGCTGACAAACCTTTTAATTGCGACGGCTTTGAGGCTCAGTGAGTTTGAGTGAACCACCAAAGATCGTAAAATATTTCCATACAATGCGACATACAATGTTCCATTAATACTCCCGCCATTATATAACAATTCGACCATAAAATTTATCACTGACTGTTCTGATTGCGGGCGAAATGCATCAGTCAAAAGCGCATTATTTGATCGCGGGCTAAACGCATCAGTCAGCATCCATTTCCCAACGTTACGTAGGCATGAAAACAATGGTTTTCGTGACGTGTCGTTGGGAAAACTCGGCCAAAAGACTCGGGACCGATGCGCCACTGATGCACTTTTCTCCCCAACGTGACGTAGTGATGCACTGCCGGCCCCAACGTGACGTAGTGATGCATACACTGAGCTGTAATAATAGTGGATGCATCAAACTAAACACCGACATATGTGGCGAAATAAAGCCGCGACACAAAATCGTACAACTTGATATGTGCGAAATTTGATATGCGTTTACGTTTTTCATAATATTTTGCGAAATATAGCTGTGTTTACATTCATTGCTGTGAAAATATATTGTTTTAAAGGACTTTCGATCAAAGACAAACAATATTTAAATATATTTTAATAAAATGTTGACAATTCTCGTTCGTGTGAAAAGTTTGACTGATGCATTCGCATCAGTTGCATCAGTCTGGATCCGCGCCTGGTACCAACTCCACATCAAAGGAACTGCAATCGAAAAGTGTCGACCTCAGTGCCGCTTCCAGACTTTTATCCATTAGTTTGTCAGAACTAAGGTATTTGCGAAATTCATGGGAGTCCGTTCGAATGATCGCAAATGCCCTTGCTGCATCATGGGGTATTCCCATTGAGTTTGAGAAACGACGTAAGCGTGGGGTAAAACAGTTCTTCGACGAATTGGCTTCCGATTCTAGGATCGAGGATTCAGAAAGAGCTTTTAAAATAAACGTCTTTTACAGAACCATTGATGTTGCTGTAACACAGATAGAAGTGCGTTTTAAAGGAATGCAAATGGTCGCAGAGAAATTTGATTTTCTGTTCCCAAGAAACTTCGTCAAACTGGAGGTCGCCGAAATTAAAGTATGGCCCTCGAACTTACTACGTGTATATGGCGAAGACTTTGATGGTGATGACCTGGAAAGAGAGGTTCGTTCGTTTCAAGTTGAATTTCTTGACGAATTAAAAGCGGAAGACGTTACCTCGGTATCAAGCATTCTTGAAATCATTTACAAAGCCAGAATTGCTTCCTCCTTAGCAAATTGCTATTGTTATTCCTAACCATTCCTGTGACAGTAGCATTTGCAGAAAGGTCCTTTTCAAAGCTGAAGATCATTAAATCTTATCTGAGGAGTTCTATGGCTCAAGAGCGTCTTGATGGGTTAACTTTGATTTCAATAGAGAACAAAGAAATAACTCAAACATTAAAAAATAAAGTCATTAATCATCTCGCTTTTGTTAATGCTAGAAGGAAGGACAGATTTTCTCGATAAACTTCGTAACTTTGTATAGGGTTTTTAGCATATTATCAATTTTCCATTTAATTGTTGTGTTTACGCGTAGGACGCGCGAGTCCGAACTTTTTTTGTGTAGGCCGGGTTTTCCAGTCCAAACTTCGTACTGATAGGGATTTTGATATATTGTCAATAAAATACAAATATTATTTGTGTTGAGGATTCTTTGGAGGCATAATCTCGACAATGTAATGGATTGGAGTCCATTGTGTAACCAAATATTATGTAAGTGAGGATTGCTGTTGTGTAGACATAAGTCGTAAATTCAGCCTATTTTTAGTGGAGCAAAGGGGGGCCAAAAGTGGCCGATTGACGGAGGGCCCCCAGCGGTTGCGTTACGCCGCTGGTTACGAAATATACGAAGGAGGTGGTAGAACTATTAAACCAAGAGGACGAGAGAAATAAAGATCGGTTGCGTATGATAGCAAATCTGTTATTGTTAAACGACAAAATAGAACGACTTAAACAACTCGATGCCCAAGTCTTGCCGTACTCGCTGTGGTCTCGGATTTTCAACTACAGGTATGGTGGGGATGTCATGAACAGGGTTTAGGTTACTCTGTTCACCGCTGAGGTCTAATGTTTCTTCGGTCTCGGTAGGGGTTTGCAATTCAAGGGTCTCTAAATTGTCGTCCACAGCCAGGTTATCACTGTTATCAGGAACTGCCTCGTCTGTTGGTAGCGGGTTTCGGGATTGGGCAGAACGCGTTTCTCGAGGTGGGGAGACCATTACCACATCAGAGAAGTCTTCGTCGCTGGAGGCTTCCTCATCCTGCACTGTAACGTTTCTAAGTGGTTGTCTGTGTTGTTATCACAGGGTTGCTGGGGGTGGTTTTGGTGCAGGTGGTTGTGGGTTTTCCGCGGGTAAATGATGACAAGGGAGAAGTAAATTTCGGTGTAGAATCCTATTCTTTCCCTTACCATTCTCACGCTTCGTTTCGTACACTGGGCTCTCCGGGCCCTTCCGATTTACCACTACGTAGATGTCATTCCCCCAAAATGGCCTCAGCTTGCCAGGACCACCACGTTCGGTAAGATTACGCACCAACATACGATCTCCTGGTTCTAGAACAGAACTGCGAACCCATCGGTCATATGAGCGTTTCGCTTTAATACCTTTCTCTTTTATCTTGTCCTGAGCTATGCTATACGCTTCGTCCATAATTGCAGCTCTCCAATGTTTTACATACTGGGGTATTCCTGTTTTGTTGATTGTGCTTGGGTTTGGAAAATAATGTCAATGGATAAGCGAGGGTGTCGCCGAAAGAGTAAATAAAAGGGGGAGAATCCAGTAGTGTCATTGCGAGTACAGTTGTAAGCATGCACCACTTTGCTAACGTGATCTATCCAACGTGATTTCTCGTTTTCGGGAAGGGTTCGAAGCATATCGAGGAGTGTTCTATTAAACCGTTCTACCAGTCCGTTTCCTTGAGGGTGATAAGGTGTGGTACGACAATGACCAATGCCGCAAAATTCTTCCAGGGTTTTGAGGAGTTTGTTCTCGAATTCTCCACCTTGATCATGATGGATTTTGGCTGGGAACCCAAAGCGAAGGATGTAGTCGTTGTACAACTTTTCAGCCACAGTCTTTGCCGCTTTGTTTCAATTCGGGTCGGGTAGGCTTGTGCATACCTGGTGAAGTGATCAACAATCACAAGAATATACTCGTACCCTCCACTGGACTTTTCAAGGTGGACGAAATTGATAGAAACCAACTCGAAGGGGGCGGTAGTGATAACAGATTGTAATGGTGCTCTGGTCTTCAGTCTTGGTGGTCTTTGCTTAACACAGCGACAGTCAACAGATATTCCGTACGTAATGTTCCACATCACTCTGCATCCGAGGCCAGTAGAAACGATCTCGAGCCAAACGTAGGACGCGCTCAGATCCAAGGTGAGCCATGTTATCGTGAAGTTCACGTAAAACTGTTCGATGGTTTAGGAAGCACAATCTGATCGTGTGAGTTGTTCTGTCTCCGTAAAACGCCGTCTTTATCAATAAACAGCTTTGTCCATTCATGAAGTAGGATTTTAGTATCGGGTGATTCTGCTGCTCTCTAAGAGGAAGTTGGTCGCTGTTTCTGTTGACAAACGAATAAACTTTTCCAATAACATTATCTTTAAGCTGAGCTTATCGAATGTCACTAAGGTTGAACTGTGGAGTACTGCTAGCGATTGGTTGTGGATCACCTCCATGCAACACAGTGGGATCATGGATGAGAGATGAGACCCAAGTCACTTTACCTTTGTCTTCCAACTGTATCGACTGGACGATGGCTCGTAGTTCGTCTTGGCAGGTTTCCTCAGTGCACGAATCCATGTATTTACTCATGTGTTCAAGTAATCTAGAGAGAGTATCTGCGTCGGTATTCAGCTTTCCAGGGCGATAACGTACTGTAAAGTTGAAATCAGCTAATTCTCCAATCCAACGAAAGCCAGTTGCATTTAGTTTGACAGTTGATAGGACGTACATTAACGGATTATTATCGTGTACACGACAAAACTTGGAGAATAATACAGGTAGTCTCTAAATTGTTCACAGATAGCCCACTTCAACGCAAGGAACTCTAATTTACCAGAATGTAGGTGGTAATTTTTCTCTGCTGGTGTTAGGGTTCGTGAACCGTAAGCAATAACACGTAAGCCATCATCCTGTTCTTGGTAAAGTACCACTCCTAGTCCATTCTCTGATGCATCCGTGTGAAGGACATATGGGCTGTGAGGGTCTGGATATGCCATGACTGGAGCACTCACAAGACATCCAATAAGTTCTTCCAATAATGATTGATGCGCTGGTGTCCACGAGACTGGATTGTTAGCCATTGGTTTACCACGCTTGGTCTTCGAGTCATTTTCCGACACCTTCACGAGATCGTAAATCGGCTTAGCGATTCTTGAAAAATTGGCAATATACCGGCGGTAGTAGTTCAAGAATCCCATTAACTTTCGAACTTCGTTCATGGTCTTAGGTGGTGTATCTTTCAGTCGTAGAATTGGGCAATAGTCGATGGATGAAGTTTATACCCTTCTCCAGAGACGACTCTCCCCAGGAAAACAACTTCTGTCTTAAACATATGGCATTTTTTGTTTTAATTTAACACCATGTTCCTTAAGACGTTGAAAGATTTTTCGTAAGTGTTCAATATGGTCGTTATAATTAGAACTGAAAACTATGATATCATCAAGATATGGAATACAGATTTCATCTCGGAGGTCACCTAAACAAGACTCCATAAAACGCTGAAAAGAGGCTGGGGCGTTGGAAAGGCCAAATGGAATGCGGATCCACTCGTACAATCCCCAAGGTGTGATGAATGCTGTGAGGGGTTGACTTTCGGGTTTCAGAAATCCTTGGTGGTAAGCTTTCCCTTGGTCAAGTACACAGAACGAAGAATTTCCTCCGAGATTGTCAAGAGTTTCCTGAATTCTCGGGATGGGGTGACGATCTATCTGCGTTTTCCTGTTCAGTTTGCGATAATCAACACACAGTCTTAAAGTTTGGTCTTTTTTCCTCACACAAACTACGGGTGAGCTGTATGGTGAATTGGACTTCCGGATAAAATTTCGATTTAGGAGGTCTTCAATGTATGCCTTCACCTCCGGGTAGAGAGGTCGAGGCACGGCAACGTAGTTCTTTTGGACAGGTTTAGTATCATTGAGCCGAATGTTCATTTGCAGATTAGGGATATGATCAACGTCATCATCGTCCTTAGCAAACGCATCAGCTTGTTCAACCAACAATTTTGACCCAGGTTTCTCTGTTCCTCTGTCAAGCCGCCTAGATCTAAATCATTCAGGTGTTTTGGTAAATTCACTGGTGAATTATCTTGTATTGTGCTGCTCTTGTAATCACGTGATTCATTGTTTTTATCGGAATGATGTACATTTAATAAGAACATAGTTTACGAGCATCTGCATTTATCTTATACAATTGAGCCTGGAATGGGCCGGGGGAAATAACTCAAATAAGGATGGGTCATGAAATTATTTTCATCAGTTTGGGTGGGCCATGAATTTGTTTATGTGCAAATGGATAGGCCATGAAACACATATAGCCTGTTTGCACTCAATACCTACTATAACTACTATACAATCAAGTTATGAGAAAGTGACTCAGTGCAAGGTTTGATCAAAGTGACTGCTATACTGTACATATTCATGTATAGCAAGATGGGTCGTGAAATTTTTCCAATGAAGTACGATGGTCCGTTGAAATTTTTTCTTGGTTCTCAGGATGGGCCACCGGGTTTTGGCCCATCCTGGCAGTTACTTTATGACCGGTCCCTAAATGCATGCGATATCGATCACTAGAATGAGCGATTTCAATGAATAAACCGAACAGTAGCCTGTGACCAGGCTGTTCTTGATAACCCCCGGGAAGATACAACAGATTACGTAATGCTCTGCAGCTTTTGCCAAGGTTCTCTTCAGCTCGCGGCCAGTACAAAGAGAACCCTGGGTACGAGGTTGAGGCTACGTATACAGCACTTGGCATTGCAGCTATATGGACGATGATTTAAACTGACATTTCAGACCATGCTCAACTATTATTAATTATTTGCTACGGCAGAATACGTTAGAGGATAAAATCTCTGCTGTGTTGTCTAAAATGGCATAAAATCTAAAATAGCATAAAATCTCCCTAGTTGCCGAGCAAGAAACATGCATGATGCTAAATATAAATCTCGACTATGATTGGATAATGGGTGAACCGGTGAAGGTGCTAATTAGAAAACGTCAACCACTCTTAATAGGCGAAAACACATTAGTTATAGCCATTTGGCGCGTAGGTGTTTCCTCGACGACGCCGTCTCTTCTCCCACCCGCACTAAACGCCTGCTACACAGGCTATGTAAAAGTCGGTTTTGTTCAGAATTATAGTTAATATTCGCATGAAATTAAACTGCACAATACGAGCCTGACAGCAGGCACAGTCGTGTTCGCCAAGTAACTAGCGCACTAAGTATACCTAGATGAGTAATACCGACATGCGAATCTACAATCTTGGACAAAACCATTGAGACCATTCCAGCTAATATTACAAAGTTATTCAATTGAACATCCCCCCCCCCCCAGTTCAATGTTGTGAACAACGCCGAAACAACTTTTGGTAATATACCATGATACAAGCTCAACATTGAGGCAACATGATTCAACATGGAGTTTGTCATAAAAATACGCGAATTTTCTATAGGGGGAAAATAGTCTCAACCAGTTATGTCCAAGATTGTAGCACGTCCTGATACTATTAGGCGTAACTGCTTTGAAACCTTTATTAATTCATGAAGGGATACAAAGTAGGTATAGAAAAAAATAGTTGTCATTCTTTTTTCTTCCGAAATTAATTTCAACCAAGGTAATCACTGTCGCCTCTGCTGTAGCCTACGGTGTAGACCCCAGATCACAAAACGTGTTTCTGCTGGGGTCTACACCGTCGGCTACCTCTGCTATCGTCTAGTAGAAATGCGACGTTTGTATCATATGCCAGAAATGGTCAGAAATGGTTCTACAGGTCAAAGTGTACCTACACGCGTGAGTTTGACGTCATGGAGCTTCTTATTGGCCAATTATTGCACAATATACGCGCGTGCAAGTAAAACCCGGTGTCCCAGGATTTTCGCCCCCCCCCTACATTTTCGCCCCCCGGGGGGCGAAATTCCTAGGAATATCGCCCCCCAGGGGGGCGAAAATCCTAGGAATTTCGCCCCCCTTTAGGAAATTCGCCCCCCTTTAGAAACTTCACCTTTTCTTTAGGATTTTCGTCCTCCGTTCAAAATTTCGCCCTTCCTAACAGTTGCATGGGATAATTATTACATGGCTTTAGTCATTTGAAATCAGTATCAATTCAAAATTGTTAAGACAGAGCTTGAAATAACAACCGATCAATGATCGGCATGGAATTGCTTATGATCGGCGGAAAAGCAGGGTTTCGGTTTACAACCTGAAAAAATCAGGGAAAGTCATGATCGAGAACTTTGGGAACGTTATTTCAAGCCCTGTAAGAATACAAATTTACAATTACATGTATCGAAAGGACTTACACAGTTCACAGTTAATAGAATAAGACTTATGACGCTTCACAGCACACCATGCATATTTTGCATTTTCAGTGTTAATCCTTAAACTCGGCATTGTTAAAAAGTAATCACCGTGGTGGTTATTGTAATTATTGGTATTGTTTTGCATCCACATTTTGTCGTCATCGGAAAATGTATGGCTTACAAGTTGTCACTATTTTTTACTGGCATTATTTCAATATAGTTTGTAAATTTCAGAAGCGAAGGGTAGAACTTGCCAATAAGCAATACTCCAATAATATACGTTTCAAAAAAGACAAAAAAGCTTTTAGTTTTGCAGAATTACATTCTCGAATGTTTAAGGCACTAATAAAATCAAAATATCATGACATTATTTGAATAAACCACACCATATACCAGGTGATCTTGATACGCGGAAAAGTACTGGCACTAGTTGTCAAATAGAAATCCATTTTATGATTAAAACAACTGAATATCTCCTGTAATATACTTTATTTCGATTCCATATTTTTGTCAGAGCTATAGTTCTCATAACTAAACATAATTACAAAATTTCAACTAGTTTCATAAAGAATAACGAAAGATATAATTGACTGAATACATCAAAATGGATTTCTATTCGGACAACCCTTTCTGAGCGCTGATTGGCTAAAATACGAACACGAGATCACCTGTATATATATATATATATATATATATATATATATATATATATATATACAGGTGATCTCGTGTTCGTATTTTAGCCAATCAGCGCTCAGAAAGGGTTGTCCGAATAGAAATCCATTTTGATGTATTCAGTCAATTATATCTTTCGTTATTCTTTATGAAACTAGTTGAAATTTTGTAATTATGTTTGGTTATGAGAACTACAGCTCTGACAAAAATATGGAATCGAAATAAAGTATATTACAGGAGATATTCAGTTGTTTTAATCATAAAATGGATTTCTATGTGACAACTAGTGCCAGTACTTTTCCGCGTATCAAGATCATCTGGTATATATAGATCAAGATCATCTGGTATATTATATATATATAATCGCTACACAGTGTTTCACGCTTTCAAAGCGATCTTCAGGCGATACTACTCTAAATAGTTTGCTTGCGCCATTCATTCAACGGTCCGCTGATGCGATTGCATCATGCGCGCGTGCGTTTAAAATTCCGTGCGCTAAATGAGTTTCTGTGGCGGCACTTTGAAAATAGTTCTGTTCGTTTGTTCAACGTCCTATCTTTGTGAGATTTAATTATATAAAACTTCTCCTCTAAGCAAAGGTTGCACGAATTTGCACCTGCTGTATAGGCTGATGCATGCGACAAAACCGACCACTTTATAGTATACGGTCGGTTACTTTGTTTTAGCTTCCATGCGTACTTAGAAAGTTCGGTTTCGTTTGAATAGCGCGGTGAGTTGATGGATTTCTTGTGGTTGGCGTATCTTGCTTTAAACCTCCCTGCTGTCATACCAATATACTCTTTCGTTTCACCGACGTCTGTTGTTGTAATCTCAGCCTTATATACGATGCTTTTCGTAAGACAATTACCATTGAGAGGGCATTCGTCCTTGTTGCGGCAGTTACATCCATCGAAAGATTTGTTCTTTCTTACCAGTAGATGTCGATTGTGGTTGGATATAGTGTTCTTAATGTTGGTCATGCAGGAATAACTCACTTTCACGGTGTTCCGGTTAAAGATTTTATGGAGTCGAGTTGAATGTGTGTAATTTTAAAATTTTAAAATTTTAAGATTATAATTAGTATATTTTGCTCTATCAATTAAATTTGTTATTGAGCACTCTTTTTGTACAACGGACAACGATTTATTATATATATATATATATATATATATATATATATATATATATATATATATATATATATATATATATAGATATATATATATATATATATAAAGATATATATATATATATATATAGAGATATATATATATATATATATATATATATATATATATATATATATATATATATATATATATATATATATATATATAATTTGGATGGACCGAAGTTACATCAAAGATTCGTCCATGACATGTTGAAAGATAATTACTAAACTAGAAAGAATAAGTTTTTTTGTAAAATTATTGAACGAAATGCTAATAAATACTTGCCCATTATAAAGCTTATACATGGGGGGACTTCAGCCTTAGTAAATATGGTGGGCTTATACACAGGGGGCTTATATTAGGAGGGCTTATATTAGGGGGGGGGGCTTATATTAGGAGGGCTTATATTTTTGAAAATAGCATTTTTGGAGCTCTCAGATTATCCAAATGTTTCAGTAACTGTAAGCCCTTAGATCCCCCTGGAAATTCTCAGCCTCTGGCCTTAAACAGATTGATTGTACCAATGTTACATCTTGGCTATGGTCCTTTCTGTTGAAGTTTATAGTTTATACTGCATAGCAAACAAAAACTGAATTTAGTTTTCATTTAAATTTGTTATATTTGGCCAATTAGAAAACAGGAAAGTCTGGAGTAATATCCTTATTGGCAATTAGAACACTAATGAAGGCAAATTAAGGTGGCATAGGTAAATAAATATATGTTGTTAATATAATATAATTCAGATATTGCAAATTACTTTGTGTACTTCAGATATTATAG